TACAAGCTTTGATATACATAGGAGAGTATGAAAATATCACCAATCTCTCAAAATAACAAGTTTTATCCCTCTATAATCATTCAAATGATTCAAACTCAACAGGAGGTTTTTACGGGTAGGAGTAGGAATCAAAGCCAGCCAATCACCTCTCTGGTAAGGGCAAGGCAAAGCAAAGCAAGCCCCTCAACTAGAGCCAAACCGAGCCCAACAAGGCCAAAACACAGCCCCCCACTTTAGAGCCAAGCTGAGCCCAACAGGGCTAAAACAAGCAAACACAGCCCCACTCTAGAGCCAAACCGACTCTCCCTTTAGTCTTAGAGTGTGTTCATCCTCTTCAACTTAATTTCTCTTTATGATAAAGGGTAAAATCGAAGCATTTCACTGCATTTTTGGACACTAAGCAATTTTTAATCTCTTATTTAGAATGTAGGTGACTCAGAAACATGATTATAGTGAATTTCACTCGAAAAAGTTAAAATAGTGGTATTTTTCATGTGATATGACTGATTTGGTTGGTGAAAATGTAAAAAAATAAACTTTATGTAAATACATTGGAATAGGGTGCTATGTATATTGTTTGTAAGGCGAACTCTAGTCATCCTTCCTATTGTTTTAGGTTATTATTTTAATTCGGGATAAATTGATCTATTTCCTTTATTGACTTATATGCCCTAGCCCTTCTTTATATAAAGGACCTTAGGGCTAGTGAGAGGAGAGAGCAAGTGTTGAGTTGTAACTTCAGGCCGTTTTCTCTTTCTCCCTATACCCTGCTAGAGGAAACTCCCTCGCCTTGGACGTAGGAGAATTAACTTAATGTAGAACCACATAAATCTTTTGTATTTGATTATTGTTGTGTGAATTTCTTTATTTCTGCATTGTTTCACATAACACTCGCATAAGTAGTGCTTTCTTGTAATTCTCTTACACAAATCACACTCAAGCAAGCAAAAATTTTCACCTAAATCATAAAAAGGGCAACAACTTGAAAGTATGCCCAAGTTGCAGCAATTAATGACGTTGTGATTGCCAGTATTTTGTTTTCATGTATATTTTGCTCTCTGTTGTTGAGAATAGTATATACCGGGTCTAAGCGCATACTCTGTAAATTTTAAGTTCATTGAATTGTGAATTAAGTATGAGAATTTTCAATCTAGATTCTTTGGCAGAATCTCAACGGTTAGGTTGGTGCGAGTCATTGAAAGACCTTGAGCATCAACATGGTGGTTTCTGTGAACTTTCGGGCTGGATTTGAAATAAAAAATAAGAAAATAAAAAGGGGCATTTACATATATAACATGGAATTTTTATGTAACATCTAAACTTTCATATTTACACATAGAGCTCAAATCTTTAAGATAATATCAAAAATAGCATTATTATCATTTTTTAAAAACCAAATACACCTTTTCATGCGTAGGTTTAAAATATCAAAAACCTATGTATGTGAATAAGGAAGTGTAGTTGTGAGATATGTGAATACATAAGAAGTCTGTGCCGCGTGTGTAAAATTCCCAATAAAAAAAAAATCCCTTAAGACCTTTTTTATATAAGGGTTGCTATGAAGATCATTTAGTAACACTAATGAGCAAAATAAAGGAAAATGAGACTCAAAGTTCATAGAGAACCATCATTAACCTCTAATGTGAATAATACCATCCTCATTTTAAAATTCTCATATTAAACTTTATTTTCTGCATGGAAAATATTATCATGTTAATTAATCCATGCAGTTGCTGGAATTCGTTAACCCTAAGCTTGCCTCTCATCTCTGGGGTCAAGAAGAGCTCCTGGTAATTAGCATTTTTTGTCTCATCCTTCACCATTCAAGGTACCAGGTGCTTGAAGAAACTTCAAAGGCCATACTGCTGAATGGTGCTTTGGCTTCCGCTGTCAAGAATATAGTCCAAACATCCATTGCAAAAGGCCCAGCTCTAGAAAATCATGACGAACAAATGGAGACAGGGCAATGCTTACTTTTCATTCTATTACTGTATTTCTTTTCATTAAATAGGTAACACGTCTACTCTACATAACAACCAATTCCTTCGCATTAACGTATCTAACACCTAAATTTTAATTATGGAAGATTTACATACATACCACTCAATTCCTATGTATTTACATATCTAACACCTAAATTTCAATTTTTACATTCATCTCGTGTATTTTTGATGTGATAGGGAAGATTTGGTTGGGAAAAATGTCAAAAGGTAAAGCTTAGGTGCTAGTCATTTTGATACATCGGAATTGTGTGGTATGATGTAAACGCCTCTTTTAATATTCACATTTATACCATCTTAATCTTTCATATCACATAAAAAACATCAACATTTTAACATTTAAAAGGTAAAATACACCTTTTCATGCTTAGGTAAAGCGACATAAATGTAAAAATTGAAGTTTGAGACGAATATGTATGTAAATCTTCTTTTTCTTTAGCAGACCCCAGCTAATAACCTTCTCTTCAGCTTCTATGCTACTTCACAAAACTGTCTGGATTGGCAAAACTTGCTTCAATCTTGCAATAATTCTCATCCACCATTGTTACTCTCTATAAAATGTCATGATTTATGCCGGCTGATGCACTTCGGGACTTCTCTGGTCAAATCTCTCTCATCACAGTGCCTGGTAGACATTATTAGCAGAATATCTGATCAGAGAGAAAAAAACCATGAAGAACTAAGATGCCCGATGAGATATCTTCAATCAATGATATCCATTATGGAAAGCCTAGTTTTCTATGAAGAGAAAGTCGTGGCCACAAACTGCAGTGTCTGTTTATCCATAATTCTAAGTTGGGGGAGCCTCAGAAACTGTAAATGGCTTAGGATGATAATGGAGGAGTTCACAATGACCTTAATGGCTTCCAGTATGGCTTCAAAATACTTCAAAAATCAGCACAAGCCTGCTTCACATATAGCAACGGCTTTGCTCAAGCTGGATCAAGCGCCTGAATGGATGAGATCTGTATTTGATATTTCTTGTATCACTGGAATAATCAACAATCTATGTGCACAAAACTTGAGCGCAGAGATGGTTAATCTGTTTAGGGTTCTTCTATCAAGGAAATATCTGAATGAAGATCATATTGGGTGCTTAAATAAAAAATTTCAGGTAAAGATTTCTCTCTCTCTCTCTCTCTCTCTCTGTTTTCTGAAACTGACACCACAAAGGAAAAATAGGTTATCATGACCAAATTTTGGTTGTCACAGCCGTTAGATTTGTTTTGAGATGCGTGCAATATAGGGGAACTGAATCGAAAATTGTATTATACTGACATGAAAGTAAATCCAACGGCTTTAAAGGCTTGTCCTTATAAAAAATAAGACCAAGATATCTTGAGCCAACGTTTTTCACAATATGAGTTCTTTTAGGGTCTATTTGGTATAATTTTTGTCTGCTTTGTATATTAGATTGTCGCCACATTTCTATTTGGAGAATTGTTTTATTATTATTTTCTAGAAATTTTTATGATAAGAAGTTATTTTTCTCAACTTGACATGTTAAACTACACTGATTGTAAGAAAGTTGCTCTCTGATATTTGGAAAAAATGTATAATGATAATTCTCATCATAGCTTTCAAGGAAGTTGTTTTCTTCACCACAATCTTACAATCATATTTTTAAAAAGCTGCAGTCACCCCAAACAGACCCTAAATGTCAAAGGAACTTCAACTAATTCCACAGTATTTTATAGGGCAATTTACTTAGATACCACTCAATTCATATATGTACATATGTAACTCCTAAACTTCACTTTTTTTTTATTTACACCACCCAAATCTTTCATATCACATAAAAAATAACACTATTTTAAGTGTTAGAAAGTAAAATAAACCTTTTCATGCATAGGTAAGAAAGCATTTACGTAGAAATTGATGTATTGGCGTCAGATAGGTAAATACAATGTATGTAAATCTTTCGTTATAATATTAATAATAATGACTAAGACAATGATTTGATGAATCTTATGACAACTTTTTCTATTTCTCATCAACTTTTTAGCAAAGGGTATTAATTCTCATGTATTTTCATATCTAATCCCTAAAATTTGATATTACATTACACTTCTATGTTATATACCTATGCATGAAAAGATGTATTTCCCTTTTAAAAGTTAAAAATAGCAGCATTTCTTATGCGATGTTAAAAATTTGAGTCATATGCAAGTAAACATGAAAGTATTTAGATATGTAAATATATAAATAATAGTGTGGTATGCAGGTAAACTCCCCTTCATTTTTTTCTTAGTTTTATCTTATGTAAAACACATGGAAAGAGCTTCTCAGACTTCCTTATCTGATCGATATTGCAGGTCTGCAGGAAACATTTGTACACGGAAAGTTCAAAAGACAAAGCACATGAAAGTCTTGCAGACAAATTTATTTCCAATAATGCTGATTTTGGTAAAATATTCAGCCTTCTTATTCAGCTGATGGCATCTCCTACTTACAGAGAAAAAGAAACAGACCAAGAGAGGCTATTGAGGGAAATTGATATGTTCTATCGAGAGTTATCAACACAAGGTAAGTGAGAATTGCTTTTACTTTACAAAATTTCATAAGCTAAAATGAATATTTTTATATAAATGCTGCTGCTCCTTTACTCTTTTTAATAATGGATTGCCAACTTGAATACTTTATAGTTTGCATTTTTTGCTCTTATGACATGTCTGCTTCTTAGATTTCTAAGATCATAAACATAGAATGGGATATTTACATACATACCTCAGAGTTCTTGCGTGTTTACATATCTTGCATCTAAACTTTCATATTTACATTTATGACAAGTTTGGGTGTTCGGTATGTAAATATGTAAGAATTGTGTGGTTATATGTCAATGTCTAATAGAATTTGGTGGGAAGTGGAGCACCTTGGGACAAATTAAGGTCAATATATTTAGTAGTGGTGCGAACCCATCAATTCTATGGCTTATGTTATTGGACAAATCTTATCTTACAGCCAATTGGGAGCATTCTACACTTTTAGAGCAATTCAAAAGAAATAAATTGGTGCTTCATTTTACTTAAATCGACAAAAACTAGATACAAAATGAGTTTAGAATATGAATATTATTGTACTAGATCTAAAGCATTGCATTGAAGATAGATTTATTGCATTCTAGGGGTCCGTTTGGCATAAGCTTCGATCAAATATATTTTTGATATGATGTTAAAGATTTGAGTACTATTTGTATAAATAGAAAAAATTGAAGTGAGATATATAAATACATAAGAATTGTGAGCTATGAAAATGCCTCAAAAATTTATTTTCAAATACAAAGAACCCAAATCCAATGAACATGAGATTTATAATGCACATGTGACTATTAAATCCACCATCCAAGTGAACAATATGAATGCTTCATTGTAAGCATGCAAAAGTGACTGGATCTCACTTTTTGAACATTGAATCATCAAAAGTTGTTCATCCCATGAGCGCTCGTGCATGTTACATACGTCAGAGTTAGGCACATTAGTGATTTAATAGACATCTGTACATTCCATCTCTCAAGAGGATATACATTGAAACTTATAAATAGACAGCGTCCATTCATATTGAATAGCACATTGTGTAAATATTTAGACAAACATATAATTTTCTGCTAAAAATATTCATCACCAAGTTAATAATAATAATGATCATAATATAAAATAAATAAAATATTTTTAATAGGAAATATGTATATTTAGCAAAGATTGTGAAAATCAGGTCGGGGTTAAATCATAAGAAGAAAATGTTCAAGATTCAATCTTTGAATCGAGATTTAATTATATGATGTAACATATATTAAAATTATTTTAATGTTATTTAAATAATAAAATTATAATATATTAATATAATTTTTCTTGATAAAATAAATAACATTCTAATTTGAAAAAATGCTTTAATATTTTAAATAATAGTCTAAATAAATATTAAAGATATGACATTTTTACTTTTAATCATCCTATCAAAATCAAAAGGTTAAAATAAGATAAAGATTTAATTAGCTCATTTTTTAAAAATCAAATCAATTTATCGATTTTGATCGGTTCAATCTCGGTTCTATGAAAAAAAGGTTCTTGGCTTGAACCGAACCAGTTGAATGACCAGCCCACAATTGAAGTGGTGGAGCAATCCGATCCGATCTTTATAACCATGATATTTACAGACTAACTCTATGAGTTCCATAGGAAGCGTTAAAAAACAATCAATTTATCCTCACAAGAATTGACTGCATAAAACAACAATAAATTCAATTACAGTGTCAGAGATATTTTCACGGAAAAAAGAAAATAAGAATATAAAATAAAAAAAATCTTGGACTTAACAGCAAATTAATACAAGTGCATTTATAAATCAAAATCATTTTTTACATTAACAGCAAAAACAAGTTCACTATTCAGAAAACTTTAGGTCTCACATTTTGCCCCCTCAACATTAACATATTTTTGTTCTTAGTATCTCCTGAACTCCTTGGGCGGCCTGAAATTAAGAGGATGAGTTTCAGGCGTGGCCATCTCATCTTCCTTCCACATCTTAATAGTTTTGTCAGCTTCACAGGTAACAAGTCTTGTACCACTCATATCATATGAAAGAGCATATATGCATGCTTCACTATCAAGCGATCCTGATATAATAATAATAATAATAGCTAAGATAGTTACTAGCTACATATTTACATATCTAACATCTCAAGTTTGATATTTACATTTACAGCACTTTGGTGTCATAAATATGTGCATTAGAAGTGAGCAGCCCATTGATTGGTTGGAAACAAAATAGTTAATAAAAGGCATTTACATAAATACCACCCAAATCCTATGTATCTACATATTTAACACCTAAACTTTAATTTTTACATTTATACCGCCCAATTCTTTCATATCACATCGAAAATACTATTTTAACTTCTAAAAAGTGAAATACAAATTTTCATGTATAGATAAGCTGGCATATCTGTAAAAATTGAGGTACAGGCATTAGACATGTAAATGCATGGGACTCGAGTGGTATGTATGTAAGTCTTCCAATAAATGATACCAAGAGGTTGGGTTTGGAGTGCTCACGTTAAAATATTTGAGGGTTATACATGTAAATATGAAAATATAGATGTTAGATATGTAAACAAGTTAGAATTGTGTTATGTATGTAAATGCCACTACAATTTATACTTCCAAAATATCCTAATCAGATTTCTCGAGGACATGTACATTCTTGCCACACAATTCTTATATATTTATAAATCTAACAACTAAACCTTCATATTTACATCCATAACAGTTGAATCTTTGATATCACATCAAAAAATATCACAAATTGCTAACTTTTTAAAACTGAAATACACCTTTTCATGCATAAGTTTTGAACACCAAGTTGTTATAAATGTAAATATCAAATTTTAGGTGTTAGATATTTAAATGAGTAAGAATCATACAGTATGTATGTAAATTTCTTAATGTTTTTAATAGGATGAGTTTCAAAATCATTGGATTTGTTTTTGAAATATGTACAGTACAAATTTTGAATGATTCTTCATGCATTGTGCTAAAATCAAAGTAAATACAGTGGCATTAGAACACATGATTCAGATTACTCACCAGGCTGAACAATTGCCTGTGCTTGCTGGAAACAGTGGCCGCTCTTCTCGTCCCCGAACAAGAGGCTCCC